ACCCAAAGTGGTCGCATGTGCGAAACCAAATCATTACAAACTACTCATGTGACCAAAGTGGTCATATGCTCAAAACCCATGACCTCATAGTGAGGTTATATGCAAAAACTCATAAACCAATCATAATGCAATAAACAAGTCATATGACTCGACTAAGTCATATGTGTGAAACCCATGACCTCATAATGAGGTCATGTGTGAAACATAAATCATATGCACAAGGCTTACCCGTAAGGCACACTCGCAAGACATACTCGGCAGGCGTATGTCCCATGACTCATATTTGAGCCATGTGCGAAAGTATCACAAATCCCACACATAACAAATCATATGACTCGAATGAGTCATATGTGTGAAACAATAACATACCTGTGACTCATAACTATGTGTCACATGAAAACCTTTTTCATGCCAAGCCACGTTCGTGATAGTGGGAAAGAAATACTCCGAGACAAAGCAATTGTAAGGACAAGAAAAAGTACTTAGAACAAAGCATGAAGAGCCTATCCTCCTTGGCCCTACCAACCTCCTTATATAGTGCTCTTCCCGCCACAAGTCATGTGACCCCAAGAAGTTACTTGTGTAAAACCAAATTATTACTAACTAGTCATATGATCAAAGTTGTCACATGCGTAAAACCCATGACCTTGTACCAAGATCATGTATGAAAACTCATAAACCAATCACAATCTAATAAACAAGTCATATGATCCCAAGTGATCACATGCCTAACACCTATAGCCTCATAATGAGGTTATATGCAAAACATAAATCTTATGTACAATGCATATCTGCGAGGCATTCTTGCAAGACACACATGCCAGGCTCAGGTTCTATGACTCATGATCGAGTCATATGCGGAATATAATAAATCATAACATAACAAGTCATATTACTCAAATGAGTCATATGCATGAAATAATAACATACTTATAACTCATAATCATAAGCCATGTGAAATCCTTTTCCTCACTAAGTCACATTTGTGATATTAGATCAGATATGAACTGTCATATGGCTGTTCAATAGTTGATCTATCTGAGGTGCTGAAGGGGCTGGATGGGTCTTGTGACATCTGGTATGTGGAGCTTAGAGGGGGCTGATTGGTAAGAAGAGATACTTGGGAGTACTGGTCGGGCTTGCATCAGGTCGGGCGAGGTCTAATTAAATGTTTCCAGCCTGCTGGGACTATTAAGGTGAAGCTGTTGAGTGCTGCAAAGCTCCCTGATGGACCAGCAGGTTGACAGCCACCTGTGCAGATAGTGGGCTGTGACCACTTAGTTGGACTTGTTTGGGTCTTACATGCAGAGTTTTGTGGGGTTTGTTTGGTTTCTTTGATTTAGCTACGGGTATGGTAGGTGGAGGCTTGGCACCACGAGTGGGAGATAGAAACTACTGATCATTTTAGTCTATTACTACCTCCATTTATTTATTTATTTATATTGTTTTGTTTTAAGAAGAGCCAGCAGGTACAAGTCCTCGTTGCTGGTACACACTTCGGAGGCATCCAGCAAAGTGGATTAGTAGGGTCAATAGCTTGGCATGTGGGTGCATGAGGTGCACATGTTGGTTGCCTCAATCCCTACTCTTGTGTCACCTGTAAGTTTTGTTTGTTTTATTGGCTTTCTACTGTGGTAGAGGTTCTACAGGTCAGTACTTAGATTGGGAGGTAGTGCCTTTATATTTGTTGGATGAGAAACCTGGTTGGGTTAGTCTTTTGCTTGGTATCGGCTACACTTAGTACTGGGTGGCTTCATACCAGAGGGGCTACAGACTTGAACCAGGAAGTGCGCTAGGTAGTTTGATGAGCTTATAATTAGTTCTCGTGCAGGCATGAGTTAGGAATGGCAATTGTGGGGCCGTAGACTTAGTTAGCTTAGGATCAGTGGTATACCGGTTAGCAGTATCCCTGTACTACTGAGGACTCGTCATATACCAGTTTTGGCGGTACAAGTTTAAATACAATTAGCTTGACTTCTAAGTACTTTTTCTACTTATTACTTTAATGAATATACAACACCTCCATACTCTATATCCTTATCACGGCCTTTATTACTATTATGACAAGAATACTCTACATGAGGTAGAGTTAGAGAAATCTTATGATAGGCATTACAGATAGAAGACATAAGTCTTGTACTATCTGTAATGTAGGCATAGGCCTAATATATATTGTATGGTAAAAGAAGAGAGGAAGACGAGAAGTATTGTTCCCCATTGCCAAAAACTAACCATCTAAAAGCGGATTGTTACAACAACTCTGAAGTCTATCAGGTTGTTTCTGTCTAACCAACTCAGTTCAACTTGAAAACTAGGCCATATGTTGAGTGATTTTGAAGATTAAATTATTACTATTTGGAATAGTATAGCTTCTAGTTAGCAATACTGTAATTACTGAAGAGGCTGGGAAGAGTTTCAGGGACTCAAGATGTTTGCATCTTTGAAGAATACCCGACATTACAAGTTATAACCAGAGAGGTATATAGTTTGTAGAATCAATAGATGTCGTCCATGAATAGTCAGCCACAGAATATAAATATCCAAGTACCTTTCAACCTTTTAGACATCATCAAGCAATGGAGAATAGACCTTAACAATATCATATTGTTTTAACAATTTTATTCTACTTTATCTACTTCACCTTGCTCTTAGTAGTTATAAATGAAATGGGTATTTATATATTTCAAGGCTTCCTAGACAATCTCCATCTACAGAAACCAATCTTGGTTGGCTTAGACCACTCTGCGTTTTTACAAGTTGTCTCCCTCTAATAGAGAGCAAGGAAAAGAGCCTTCTGTAAGATGAGCATTATTACAAATATGGCTTGGTGAGGAAAAGGTTTTCATGTGACACATGGTTATGAGTTACAGGTATGTTATTGTTTTACACATATGACTCATTCGAGTCATATGATTTGTTATGTGTGGGTAATTGTGATGCTTTCACATGTCGCTCAAATATGAGTCATGGGACTTACGCCTGACGAATATACCTTACGAGTGTGCCTTGTAGGTATGCCTTGTGCATATGATTTATGTTTCACACATGACCTCATTATGAGGTCATGGGTTTCACACATATGACTCAGTCGAGTCATATGACTTGTTTATTATGTTATGATTGGTTTATCAGTTTTGCACATGACCTCGCTATAAGGTCATAGGTTTTAAGCATATGACTACTTCAGTCACATGACTAGTTTGTTATGATTTGGTTTCGCACATGTGACCATTTTGGGTCACATGACTATAGACAGGAAGAATACTATATAAGGAGGCCGATGCAGCCGAGGAGGATAGGTTCTTCACACTTTGTTCTAAGTACTTTTCCTACTTATTACTTTAACAAATATAAAACATCTGTACAATCTTTATCTTTATTGCAATGTTATCATTACACAAAGAAGAGCTCTTCACAAAGAAGAGTTAGAGAAAGCTTACGATAGGCATTCCCAATAGAAGACAAAGGTCTTGTACTATCGGTAACGTATGCAGAGGCCTAGTGCTATCAGAAGACTAAGGAAAGAAACAGAAGAAGAGAAGTATCGTTCCCCATCGCCAAGAACTAACTATCCAAGGAGGGATTATTACAAGTATGATGTTTAGAGATTAGCTTAGAGTATGAGGTATAAGGATTGGGTAAAGGAAAACTTTGAGGGTATCATCTCTAATGATAAATACATGGTTGCAAAGTCCAAAAATCCTAAGGATATTTGGGTATTCTCAACACTTGAGCAATAGTGGTACAAAGACTACATTTATGGGGTTACAAAAGGTCCTGAGATATAGCTGATAGTATGGTCTTGTATTTGGACTAAAAATAAAGATCCTCTGATTTCCATTTTTGAGAAGAGTGTGAACAGATTTGTATATATTAGAGTTTTGGAAGTTGGTTTACTTAATACCTGGTAGGAGGTGGAGGACACAGTTGGAGTTCCTATATTTCAGCAGAATGGTGCAAATATACATACTGCAAATGATACTTTTACTTGGTTTGAGGAAAACAACATTCAGGTTATGGAATGGTTACCCAATTCTCCTGATATTAATCCTATTGAGCACTATTGAAAGAGGGTAAAGGAAAAGCTACACCAGCACTTTCCTGACATTCATAAGACTAAGGGTGGTCCAGAAACTGTTAGAAGACATTTAGCAGAAGCTCTTAATAAGGTTTGGACTCATGATATAGTGGGGGATTTTTTGGAAAGGCTGTGGGAGTCTATGCCTAGGAGAGTGACTGCTATTTTAGATGCAAAGGGATGGTACACAAAGTATTGATTTTTTTATTCTATAATTTCACATGAGAATTTTCTTATATCTATTGAATCTCTAACTAAATTTTCACTTCATTCTGGGTAGTTGTGGTTGCCTACGTAGTACATTTATAGTGGTAGTAGAGTTGTGGTTGCATCGCTGGACAAAACGATTTGACCTGGTACTTTATGAAGAAAATTTTTAGTCAACTTTAAAACTGATATTGCGTAATTTGCTTTGTGGAACCTTGGCGAGACATACCTTAAGTCAACATACTAGCGAGAGGTCTAATTATTCCAATTTTTACGGTAGGTATTTTTGCTCTGTCCGAATGGTTATTGCTGAACAGATATCTACGAAGATCTGTTCCCCCAATCACTATTACCACCTCATCAGCTACGAGCTACCATATATTGCTACGTATACAAATTTGGCGGAGTAGCTTTCCAATAATACGGGGCATTATCATGTTATAAAAAAACTGGTATACCCTGCAGTATCATATTTCACTGCTGGAAATCCGTCAACAAAACCGGAAAAAGTCATTCCGCCCCATACAATTACGGAACACCTAAACGCATGCACCATCTAGGTACATAGTCCTTACTTATTGGTCGAACTTTGATGATCCTGGCCCTTAAGCTAAAGGAAGATAGGAGGGTTGCGCTAGGGTGTTCCACGAGGGTAGTTTTCGATACTGTGCAACCCACATATCTATTCACTGAGATCTCGAAGGCCCAAAACAAATTTTCCTCCAAACAACACCAAATTCGAATCATAGTTTGAAGCCTACGCGCTGCACGCTTCTGGTTTGAAAACGTGATAGAACCGCGCCCCTAAGCGACAACCGCGGCGTGATCATAGGCTTTGCATTTCGGTGTTTTCTCATTGATCAACACCGAAACGCAATTTACATGCACGGGGAGGTCATTACACAAAAAGTAAGAAAGACAGACGGAATTGAAGGAAACAGAAATAGCCGAATATAGACAAGATAATAGAAGCCCGGCCTGCAATGATAACAAAGATGTACATCGTAAAGCATATGGTTTAACGAAAGGAAATCATCTTCTCCAGAGTTCAGTATTGTCACTTCTGGCCCTATTGGTACCTCCACCCCCACGACCGCCTCGGTAACCTCCTCCACCACCACCTCTACCGCGGTCATCGCGACGATCGTTGTAATGGTCATTGTACCTATTCTCACCACCGCCACCGCCACCACCACCAGGACGGTATCTATCATCCCTAGATGGCTGATTGTAGTTGTAACCGCCTCCATTGTATGAGCCTTGAGGCTGCCCGCGTCCAAAGTTAGAAGCATGAGAGAATCTAGGAGGAGCGGGTGGAGGGGGGTATCGACCGCCCTGGTGGTATTGTCCTGGTGCTATATATGGTGGTTGCAGATTTGTGTAATTTCCCCGAACCTGGTTGTGCTGCCCGCCCCATCCGCCCCAACCTGCGAGAGCTGGCGGAGGTGGAGGAGGTTGCCAAGTCCCATTTCCATAAGAAGGTGTGTGGTTTTGTCCCTGGTAACTTTGAGTAGGACCTCGATTGGATTGATAGGAGCCTTGGAACTCTCCCCCACTACCGCGGCCACGGCCTCTCCCGCTGTTGCTACGATAAAGCGGAGCGCCACCGTACGAGCGGCCTGAGTTCTGAGCATTGTTTTTGATCATTTCTAGGTCTGTATGAGAGAGGACGGGAGGACTGAGCTTGACCCCACGAAGTAACATCGATTTGTGCGCATTCTTGGTTTTGGGAAATTCGTAAAAGACGCAAAGTGATTTGTCGCCCTCGATTTTAGGCATATCTTCTAAGGATAGTGGAAAAGGTATCGTGCCCTGAGGGATGAAAGCAGGATCTTTGATAACCTTTCCAGACAGTCCTTGGCTCTTCGTAGGGTCAAGGTCGTATTCCTATCCAAGTCAGTGATTGCTTCGAGGTATTGAGTAGAAAAAACGTACGTCGTCACTCCGGCCCTTATAGTAGAATCGTATGGCAACATCGTCGTACATGTCGTTTTCTACTGAACAGAATAGAAGATCATGTCCCATTGCATTCCTCGCATCGTCCTCAGGAGTTAGCGTGGGATAGACCTTTGACACAGCATCTAACAAACGCTTTTCATCGATGAATGGCAACAGTGCTACACCCTGCCAGGCGAACTTCTTTCCATTCAAGTCAATGGGGAACGATTCGGGGTAAAAGTCAATGATCTCAGAGTCTTCCTCTGTCATAAGTTTCTGAAACGGCTCGGGAAGAGCGTGTTTACTCGCGGCAGGCAGCACACCCATCAGTTGTTCAAACGGTTTGAAAGGCTTCCCTTTCTTAAATTGGATATCAAGCTTGCCTACGTCATTGAAATCTTGGGCAAACGGTGCATAGTGGTATGGGTAATACCAAGTCCAACTAGGGCATCCTTGGAAGTAATAGAGCAGCACCCAACAAAGCCCTTCAACATAGCTAGCAGCGACTTTATTTCTGAACTCAACATTGTCCGGGGAGACATGAAACTTTTGCTCATAATATCGCTCACGGTATCCGGGCTCCCAGAGACGAACAGGATCGCGATCAGGGTCATCGGCCTCAGACTCGGAACCGGGGGTCTTGGGAGTTTCGTCTCCCCAAACCATATCAGCCTTTCTCTTGTGGGATATGGCAGGGGCGGTCGTGGAAATTGTCTCCGGGGTAGGAGTTATGTCCATTTCAGAGCCGTCACGCGAAGATTCCGCAGTGGCATTCGGAGAGCCAGTCAATAATTGAGCTTTCAAGGCCTGAGCTGCGCTCTTGTTCTGAAGATTAGCCTTTCGAATGCCTTCTCTATTGATTACCATGTCGTAATTCATTTTCTTCGTATCCTTTGAAACATCGCCAGGCTTGAATAATGGGATCATAGGAGGAGGGGCAGAATTTGGAACGCCCCGCCCCCTTCCTCTCCCTGTAGGGGTAGTAGAAGGCGAATCAAACCCTCCGGTAGCGAAATTGCCGCCGCAGCGTCCGCTAGCGGCTCTAGCGTCCTCCTCCAATTTCCTTCTCTTGTTGTTTTGTTCCCTTCTGTCATCGACTCTCTTCCGATTCCTGAAGATTTGATCTTCCTGCTTTGCCAACCCATCAAGGATGTACTGAACCCTTTTTAGATCTACAGTTCCATCTTTGGTAACGTAACCTCCCATAAGAGGGATATTGTCTTTCCAAACGGCAATCAAAGTGTCGATTCCGTTCTCTCTGATTTCCAAACTTGGCAAATGGGGTAAAAAGTCGTTTCCGACGAAAAAGCACATAAAAATCCAATCGTCAAGAGCTCTCTCCAACTCGAACTTGAATGGTTGACCAGAAACCTGAAGTTCTACCTGCAAGTATTCACGAAGTATTGAGACATGTAGCCAGACAAAAGGCTTCAGCGGGGAAGCATTGTCTTTTTCATCAAACTCGCCCTGTTTCTCCTTGGCCTTTCCTGTACATTCCTCGGCGCGATGGCCTTTCTGTCCACATATCCTGCATGTCTTTGCCCTAGCTTCCTTTGCAAAGACGTCCTCACGGAGGACTTTAAAATGGGGTTCATGAGTCCCAAGCCCCAACATGATCAAATCGGCGTCAAGGCCATATATGACGTGACGAGTATTTGGGTCATATTCCGGGGAGAGGCGCTGAGATCTGATGAATTCCATGATCTTGTGTTCCCCCTCTCCGGGAACGGTGGAATCAGAGATGATGATTTTTAACTAGGAAGGTGTTAGCACATAATCGATTCCCACAATACCGCAAAATCTCGCACATAACGAACACGACCAGGCTGATTAATATGGCCCTTTATTGGCTAGCGAGGACTCCCTGAGACCATCTTTTGTGACAGTCGTTGCAGCGATGTGAAGTCGACCACTCACAGGAGCAGGATCTGGCCGCTGCTAGGTCTGATTGTGTTTGATATGTGCGAGATTCTACGGTAGTCTAGATAACTTACTTTAGCCCAAGCAGGGTCATCGTTGAGTTTTTTTGCGATCCAGTACTTGAGCGATGCTGCAAGAATATCCATAAAAGGAGTACCAGGGGTAATGGCATTACTGTCCCAAATCTTTTTGTTCTTGATAACATCGTCAAATTTGCTCCCGTGCTTCTCCATCTGCTCAATTAATTGGGCGGTCTCATCCTCTTTTTCCTTAGCTTCCTGTGCCGATCTGAAGCGACGAGAGCGTTGCTGATTCATTTTCGCACGAGGCGCAACACCATCTATAGAATATCAGTATTCGCGATAGAAATGGCTTGAGTGGGGCGGCAAGTAGAAGCAAGGTTGCAAAGCTCACTGCTTCCAGGTAAGCGATCAGCGAAAACATACCAACAGCAATCATGAGAAGCTTGTTAGGCCTCACCATGTTTACGACACGCTCAGTGTAGGCGAATACAGCTAGCATCATCGCCTCTTCCGTTGCTGGTGGCTCACCCTCCTCGGGATGAGAACATGGATGAACAATACCATTCATGTCAAGGTAAAGATTGTCCGACTTCAGCGTGTGAGAACGAGCAAGTTAGCATGTTGTTTAATAAACTGACCGGTAATTACGTCCTTACCTCGCCATTCGGATTCGGCTGGGTTGTGTCTACTGCTCTAACAACTCCGTCGATCTCTTGAGGTTGCTCCTCGATCACAGGGCTAACAATTTTAGGATACTTGTTTGTAAGCCACCTGAACAGGGCCGGAACACCCATGATTATTGATGCGCTATCCGATGCAAAAGTATCGAGAACAAAAAAAATGGGGGGGGCGATGATGACCGAGGTGATGCTATGCGAGAGGTGGCTCTCCTAGTTAAAGGCGGAGACTAGCGAAAAGAGCCCGGATGTGAGGCCAATGCGGTTCTAGACCAAGCGGACCGCTAGGATTTGGCTCTGGACACAAAATGGCGAAGTCCCTATTGCAACTTTTGCAAGCGACCGAGGGTAGAGACGCGGTGTAGGGCTAGTCGCCCTTGTAGCAAGAATTACGGTTGGAAGTCTGCTCCAGAAAAACACGACAAAGAAGAAAGGAACTGAAAAAAGTGGTGTGGATATGATAGAAGAATTGGGGAAATAAAAATTTGGGGCGAAAGAGGCAACCGCTGTAAGCAAAACTGAAAAGCAATTTGGTTGGCGGTCTTGGCGTGTGTGAGTGCAGACTCCAAAAAGAGTGTTAATCTGCTTAGTAAGCTGGGCAAATGTCATTCATTACCAGGCGATCCACTCCTTTGATTTCGCCGTCTTGTGCGATTTGGGGCGTTATACTGGAGAAGGAAATGTCTTCAAGTTATTCAGCGGACCACTCGGAGGTCGCAAAAATCCAATCTCCTTCTGTAGCCCGTGACTTATATCGTACTTGTAGAGTACGGTGCACTTTTCTCCCACAGCCGCCAGCGATCCTTCTCAAAAGCTGTGAAATTCGGGATCAAACGAAGGGTTATCATGAGGATTTGCTATCAAAGCTTCCTATTCGAGAAACAACTGGTCCCCCGGGGGACCGGAGGGGATAGAAATAGAGAGGGAATCTATTGAGCAATTCTCTGGGAAAGAATTATTCAACATCCCTATTTATCGCCATGCACTTTTGGCAGCCTTCTTGGTGGGTGTCACTTTGTCCTCCGCCTACTCGAGAAGTAACAGTCCAAAATTCCGATCGTCCGCCCTGAACATCCTACTGTCCGGGTTTTGTATGGCATATGTCTCAGCCCCTCACAACTGTCAGATAAGTTATGATATGATGCCATACTGTATATCATACTCGAGTATGCAGGGTTGGAATCTGCCTTAGCTGACTAACCGCTCGAGGACAGTAAGAGGAGGTGACAAGGCGCTGGCCCGTACGAGTGCTAGTACAGTACTGCGGAGTAGATTGCGATAATTTACGTAGCAATTCACATGCATCCCTCCAAGGCTTGCTTGCTTTTTCGTTTGTATGGTTTCTTTTTCCTAAAAGCCTGTGGATGGCACTGTAGCTATTCCCAAGGCTGACGGTTCGAAACGTTCACTACGATATTACACGAATATGAGGCTTGAAAAAAGCGTCATGATCAATTATTTCTAGTCCAAAATCACTGTAAAATCTTGTGGCATTTCTAAGGAGTGGCCTAGATGACAGCTACTTCGATTGTAGCTCTAGATTAATCATATCAATGTGATGCTAAAACCATGGGGCCCATCCAGGCTTTCCCAAGGGAAGCCACCAAGGCTTCAAGGGCCCACAGCCCATCGTAGAAATACAAAAGGAAAAAAGAAAAAAAACGCCTCAATAGATACATGTTTCCACCCTTCTCCTACATCCTCTGAGCTCTTGTTGTTTTCTCATACTGTTCTATAAGAATACTCGCTAGTAAACAGGGTATGCTCTGCCTGGCCATCCAGAAGCTACACTGATTCTTGATCTCTCGGTGAAACATACTATCTGGTCCACCAGCAACCTTCATAGTCCCTATTAACAGGTGCTAATTAGTACGCAAACTTAAAAACTATGCAATGCAACAATGCAACAACTCACCCTTCTCCCCATCAAATTCAATGCTCTGATCTTCATTGCCCGCAAACATGTGGGTCACCCGAACCCTTCCATTCGGTAGAAAGTCCAGCTTATACCCGAGAAGCGAATAGACTGCCTCACGGAACTCCAAAGACTTAGCCGTCCAGATCTCCTTCAGACGGGTCATCCGTTTTTCCTTCTCGCCAATAACCTTTTCCATGGCCTCCATCTCGCCCCGGAGATTGTTGAGAGTGTGAATTGGGATAACCTTGCCAATCTGATCTGTCCGCTCCTCTACTTGTGCGAGGAGAGAGGCATTCTCTTTTCTAAGAGAGTCGAGAGTAGCAACTTTGATCGCCTCTTCTCGGCTAGTGGGATTGTCCTTCAGTTGTAAAATCCGTGTAGAGGTTTTTTCGAGTGACTCGAGTCGAATATGAAGTGAATCTATTTCCTTCTTTGATAGAAGGATAGTGTTGCGGAGTTGAATTATTTCTAAAGGCGGGGCTTTTGAGCATAATATCAACACGTGATGTCAAAGATGCTTACCATCTTGCAGATGTCGGTTCTTTCGAACCAATTCCCCGTTTCTTTCGTTCTCCGCTCCGTCTTCCTCTCTATGTCGTTTCCTGCCCATGATCTCCCCTATATCTGTCCCTTCCCGTTTAGTTAACTCTGCTACTAATACATCATTCTCCTTCTTATACTTCTCCAACATCTTCTCAAGCTCCTCTATTCGCTTGGCCTTCTGCTCGTCGTAGTTTCCTTGCATATATGTGGTTTCTTCGGTTGAGAAAGACTGTAGTTGTTCTCGTAGGAATTGTGCTTCTTTCAATGCTAGGGCGCGTTGTCTTTCCAAACGGGTTCTTGCTTTAGTATCTCTGGAGGCAGTCTCGCCCATCTTTTCTAGCTCCTCTCTCAAGCTACGAATATTTCCCTCAAGCTCTTCGATTAGAGTTTCCTTTTGTACTAGCTCAGGATTAATACGTCCAGCCTGCTCCAGCAGGCTAGCTTTCTCTAAGCGCTCTTGTATGAGAGCCCGAGCAAGGCTCTCTGGGGAGTCAAACTCAAGCCCCTCACTCTCAAAGAAGCTGCCCCACGAGTTCTTCTCATCTTGGAGAATTGAGACACGAAGCTGAGTTTCCGCAAGCTCTTGTCTAACTTCACCCAACAGTCTGACTTTAACTTCCAAAGACTGTTTTTCCTCCTCTAATATCTCGATTGACTTGTTATAATCTCGCAGTTGCTTAACTTCCGATGAAAGTTTTCTATTGGTACTTTCTAATGTTCTGATATGTGTGACTTGCTCTGCTAAACAGTTAGCCTCGATGTGTATGCCAGTAGAACGAATAGGTAGCACATACCAGAAAGCTCCTTTTTAAGAATCTTTAATGTTTCTAGGTCCCCTGTTTGTGCCTTCACTCTTAGGAGCTCTGTCTCCAGATTACTTATTTTAGTCTCTTTTGAAGCAAGCTTTGTTTCTGTTTCCTGTAAACTGTGGCTCTTGGTCTCGAGGTCTCCTTTGAGTTCGCTATTCATTTTCTCGAGGGACTCGTTCCTAGTCTTAAGCTCCTCTACATAGCGCCGGTACTGTCGGTCCTGGGATTGTATGTCACCTTGTTTGTCGCAAACCTGTTCCTTCAAATCGGTGTTCTCTGATTTTAACCATCGGACTTGGCGCTCGAGGTCTTGCTGCGAGATAAACTTAGTACACGCGTGCCATATATCACTAGAGTCGCCAACGCCACCAACCTTCTGGTTGGTTGCTTGATCCTTCACCTTCTCTAATTTCTCCGATAGCTCTTTTTGTCTGTTGAATAGGTAGGTTTTGTCGCTCTCTACGGACTAAGACCCCGAGTCAGCATTAAACAGAGATAGACAAGCTTGGGAGGTTCACATCTGCCCGTTTCGCCTGCTCTTCGCACTTAGCTTCTAGAACTCTAAGTTCCTTCTCATGTCGGATTCTCTCGAGCTCCCGCTCATCTTGCAACGTTGACAATTCGTATCGCACCGTGTTCAGTTCCGATCTTAGGCCCTCAGTTGAATGACCTAGACGTCAGGATAAGTAAATGCCTAGATTAGGGGCATGTGTGATCGTGAGGAATTACTGGCTTTCATCCCCACCGGCAACAATCGTTGCTGTGGCGGGGCGGCTGGGGATGGCGCTTGCGCAAGAAAATCGTAACTAGGTTGGACCGAAGAAGTAGACTGGGACATGGATCAGTTTAGCTATGATATAACAGATGCTTCGGCGCCGAAGGAAGGATATACTATAACACGCTGGTTCGCAAACAGGGTCCGGGTAGGGGCAGAAGCTCGAGGTTGAGGAGAGCCGTAAAGAGGATTTCCTGGAATATTGGAGTTCCTACCATGCGGATTTTGATTGAAGGGGGAAGAGTCCATGGCGAGTGTTGTTTCGTTGGAATAAACGCGCTCCCAACTCAATTGTTCATGGGTTTGTCTATCTTTGAACCTCTAAATTCAAGGCATCAGCAAATCCCCTTGTTCCCATGTGGGGTCACGTGATGCGGCTCAAAATTGCGCGCCAAGAAATACTTTTCACATCCTTCGCAACGCGCTAGGGCAGGAGTCCGCGCGCGATGATTTTTCTTCCATTGCCATGTTGAACCTCACCATCATCTCAGTCTAATGTTGGCTCAACACCTCGTTACCTCTTCCTAAACATTCCTCCCCCGGCCATCGGTAATATATACACTCTCCCAGCCACAGCAAGATTGAGGGAATATTTCCTCTCCATCAAACACCATTATGGTGTCCTCAATCTCTAGATCAATTCCCTCGTCCGCGCCCCCGAGGCCCCCACCACCTCACTATCAGACATTCTTGACCCCGATTCTCCACCGACGATTTGCTAGAGCATGCCTAGTTGGTTTTGCCGCCTGTTATGTTGAATCTTTTGTGATAAGCAACAAGTCGAGCTGTTGGTCTCCCCCCGTCATTATCGCGTTATTCTGGCTAGAGGCTGACTATAGTGTTTGTTAGTTTTCTGGGCGATTTTCCCATTGGGATGGACTGGATTCAAGGCGGTCATACTTTTCTTTCTATCCGTATTTCCCATACTCATCCTCCGTATCTCGCAGCTCCATGGTACGACTCCCAGCCATCTCCTGGCCGGTTCGATGGTTTCTTGAACATAGACGCACTAACCTCTAGAAATAGTGGGCGCAAGATCTCATACAACTGTGTTTCACGCAATGAAGACATATATTGGATCTTTCTCGACCTATTCGACCTTCCTTACACACTCGTTTGCTTCCCTGGTGTTTGCTTTTCTCTATCTGTGGTCTAGTTCGAAAGAAGATCGCCTTGGCTTCATCATCGAGGGAAAGTATGTACCAGAAAAATACCCTATTATAGTTGTCACCTACTAAACCCCCCTCTCAGGAGTTATGAGCGTCCGCGGTTAAATGAGCGATTCTTATACCTGACCTTTTTTGCCTGCTATACCGGGTTAGTTCAAGCAGTGCTCCATCTTTACGAAGATCGTGGGAGGCTTCAACTCCCACATCTCTATGTATGGCCTAATGAGGTTGAACCTGCCTCCATCTTGAATGCTAAATTATCGCAGTTATCTCCCAAGGCGGCCTTCAAGAAGAAATTTATTGAAGTCCCCTCTGGCGCCTTCCACATGGCACTCATATCTGCTTCTACAGCTCCATTCGCCTACATGCCTTTTCGCCCAGTTATATGGCATTATACACTGGTCACCGCCAAAACTTTTTACTGGTAACATCACCGCTAGCGGGAGTAAGGGAGTAAGGGAGTTTTGCGTATTAATTTGTGGTTGTCCTCCAGGCTTAATCGATCTAGTACCCTTCCTTCATTCCCTGTCGGCGCTGGGATGTTTATTAGATCTCTCTGGCTCTCATTTCTCATTGGGGCCATGTGGCAAATTTCCAATATAGCCTTCGACGTTTATTTCACCCAAAAGCCGCTCTCGGCGGATGGCAAGACCGTCAGTGAAAAGTCTTCTGACCCCAATGGGACTCTAGTTACTGGCCTAAAGGCTTCGCAAGCGCCATTGGAACCATCCAATATATCGATAGACTGAGTGCAGTCTTGCCAAGACCTCCCGT